AATGGATTGTCCTGCTATCGTCAGGAATAACTCTTTATCTCTGGCCTTATATGCATTGGCACAAAGCCAATATCAGGCTGGAATGACTCAATAAATAAACAACCATGCAGCCCTCTTGTTTTCACTGGCTGATCTGATGACAGTCGGGCTCCTGCTCTTGGCACACAGCGAGGCTCTGCTGAAGGAAATGCCATTATCTTCCCCGTGCCAGGCAGAGATTAATACATTCTTAGAAATTGAATCCAGACAGGACTTCTAAATGATTTCATGTGACCTCCTGTATATCAGGGCTATTAAATACTACAAATTACCTATGATAAGAGCAGAGATTGCAGCCTATTTAAAACTCTGTGCATTTCCCCCCCCCACTCTGCTCTGCCCTTTCTTGTTCCTCAACTATTAAGAGCAGGCAGAGGATGGGTCACAGCAAGGCAATACTAAAGTCCAGAGAAACTGGCTGAAATATACCTGGGGATTCCTGCACAGTAAGAATTCCCTCATTGTCCCTGATAACCTGACCTGGGATAATTTCACTCTCAGGTCTGAAACTGGTGATCAGTGCAATCCTGAACATGACAAGAACAGGCACCAACTACCACCTGTGAGACCTCTTCATTGCCCTCCTAGACTTTGATCACCTCTTCTGCATTTCATGTCTAGCATTGCAAAATCTTGGATGTAGCCAAGGGAAGAAATACTGGCATAAAGCAAAACGAGAAACTGAGTTATACACCAAGGTGTGAGAATTATTCTTGACATTGCAAGTGCCTGTCTAATGCTTGGGACTCTGAAGCATAAATATTTTTCTAATGTTGGGCAAGAGGGATAGTAAAAGGGGACAAGGCAAAGGCCCAGATTCACAGATTGGTAGAGAAAAACTCTGCTTTATGGATGTTGAGCATCTACATTTCTCTCAGTTGCATAAGAATCCTCTGCTTTCCCCATATCCTCTCAAACAGGAGGGTGTATAAACTGCTGGGTGTTCCAAGTCAGGTGATGAAGAAGATAAATTCTACATTGTCCAAGCCAAATGATCTCAAAATATAGCAGTTTGCAGCACTGAGAAACTGCATCTTACTTCAAAGCTGTGTTTCTGTAACTCCTGTTTCCATTTTTGCATCTTGTCATGTTGTTGGCAGCAAGGTCAAATGCCCCATGTTATCCAATATTCTCCCTGTGCACAGGTCCCACTGCTTAGAAATCAAGTCCTCTTCATCCTTTCTTGTTCAGCTGAGGAATTTGAGTTTATATGTTGCACAGCAGTGCTTGTTTCTAATATCTAGATTATTTTATTCTCCTATGGTCTTACTTTGTTAGATTTCCCTTTTGAAAGTAAAGTCAGACCCAGATGTCAAATGATTTGAATTACCAGTTTTTGTCAGAGCAGATATTTTCCTTTTTTCTACTTGAATCTCTCTCTCTTTTTTTTTTTTTTTTTAAATTCTGGCTCTGGGTTTCAGAGAGTTTTGGCCTTGTTATGCTGAGTAGAGGTGGAGATTAAATACTTCAGGTTCAAATGTTTTGAGACAGTTTCCCACTCCATAAAATCAGCCTTGTTCCCTGATTTTTGCATTGTTTAGCTACATTGCAGCAAATACAGCATAACAGAGTGCCCTGAATCAGAACCTCATCCTCTCCCATCACTTGCTAAAATAATTCTTCCTGTCATCTACAGATTTTATTGGCACAATTTTATGTGCTATGTGAAAATTTCATAATAAAGTTCATGATACTATAAACTTCAAGTTGTGTCAAACCAAAGTAAAACCTGGCCCAGCCATAGTCTGTGACAGATTAGGGAAAGATTATTGGAAGAAGAACACTGTACCTTCCTGATGTCAAAATCTGCAGTTAAAAGACATCCAAAGATGATGTTTAATATTACTCAGTGTGGTTTCATGGTTTTTAAAATCCATCTATACTTTTGTTCTCTCCAACATCTTTGAAAATGAGTTCCATCATTGAATTCATGCTGAGGAGAAAAATACTTTCTTGCAGCAAGTGCCCTATATTGTATTATGAAAAGAGTGAATAATCATTCCCTACTTACCTTCCCTATTCCAGATTTTATAGGCCAGATATTGTGCTCCCTTTTTCTTTTTCAGATATTCTTTACTTAAAAGAAGCAGGAAGGTGTTGCAATTTTCTGCATCTATTTTGAGTCAGAGTGACCAGAACTACAGTGGATTTATACATGGCATGAGGATATTTTCTGCATTTTCCTTCTTCCCTCATAATCTTGTATCTTATTTTCCCTTTTGTGGGGCACTGAATTGATGCTTTACAGTGAATTATTCACAGTCACTGAGATCTTTCTGGCACAGATGCATCTACAGCCTCTCTGTGTGTGTCTGTATTGCACTTTTATTACTCTCCACCCAGTGACACTGAATTTCTCCTGGTTTTCTAATACTCTGGCACTTAGTGCAGTGAGATATTTCAGCTTGGAGAGTGTTGGATAATTCTCTCTCATTTATCCATATATGATCAGCATAGCTGGTGACAGACTCCTGGGGGCCCCTGCTCAGTAGCTGCCCCTACTCTGAAAACTCTGTATTTATTTTAGGACAGCTCAGTTTAAAGCACTGAAACCTTCCCAAAGCCTTTCTAAAAATCTGTGTGCCCTTGCTGGAGATGCACTGATTCCTTTGGCAGAACCTCATTAAAAGGAATTTGTGCAGAGTAAGGGAGGCTCTGAACATCACCTGGCATTAAAAGCCACGGTGGTTTTGCTTGGTTAAATTTAAAATAATTTCAAAAAGAGAATGTATTTTTCTGCTCAAGGCTGTGATCTGGCATTTGGGATATATAGGTTGTATTCTTCGCCAAAAATCTGTCTTATTGAGCAAGTTGTTTCATCTTCCTGCAGTGCAGTTTTTCAGAGGTGCAATCATTATTATTTCTTCCATCACCTCTCTTCACCTTCTAAGCTTTTCAGGATAGGGGCAGCATCTTTACTTCTAGATTTTTCTTTTAATCATGTTGTATGGTAACTCTGGGTGATGTCATAATCCAAGCTGATAATGCATTTGTTAAGGTCAAATAGCCTGATAAGGGCATTAAGTCACTGGTTTTAATCAAACTCCATTTCACTTTTTCAGTTAATATATATATATATTTAATTTCAGTGATACATTGTCTCAGTGAGAATATTTGTTTTGGCCACTAAATAAACCAGTATGCCATAATAAAAAAAATTCTGTGTTGTTTCAAGTAAAATGAATTTGCTTTTATTCTGCTGTTTTAAAGAATCTGGTTGGACTCTAGCAGTGATAATATCAGTAAAGAAAAAGCCAAGGGCCTTTTTAATGAGATTTCATTAAGGTGTGCTAATTAAAAAATGGGAAGAAGACAAAGAACCACAGTGCCTCTGCACTGAAGATGCTGTGCCTTAAGAGAGTGAGTAGTAACTGTTGGGTCAGTGAATATACACCAGCCCTGTAAATGCAGAATATACGTCCTGAACAGGGCATTTCCTCACAATGATTATGCCAGCAGCTAATGGCCACATCCAATGGGTCACCCATCCTTCCTCCCTCCCCTTTTAAAGTGACACCATCCCTGTTTCCACTCTGTATCTGTCATAAAGAAACATTGATTTCCTTTTGGAGGAAAACACATATTTCTTCCCTCCTGCTAAGAAGATAAATCTGACAGTTTTTAATCAAATGTAGTTGTTCACAACTATAGAAATGTTTCCAGTGGCACAGATGAAAACCTTTTATTTTTTTTCCCTATTTTTTTTTTTAAGGGGGTTTCTGGAAGTCAAGTTTATTTGGAGAGTGCACCTGTGCTAAAAATTTTACTGTATGCACCAGCAGTTAACATTTGGGAATGCCCTATGGGCAGGTTTAACTTTACTGCCCTCCAACATAATGCCTGTCTTGTAGTGGTAACCATGAATACTGCCATAGTTAAGGGTCTGTCAGTGGTTCTGTCATAAACTCCCCTGTTTCCAGGGTTTTTATAACTCAGCCATAAAAACCTCTCTCCAAGCTAAAGCTTAGCTTACCAAGGCAGACCTGATTCTGATCTTGGCAAGGCAGATGATACATATCCCTCTGTCTCCTCTGAAATTAGCTGTGATCCCTCAGGAAGGGCTCTCACAAACCATGGGTGCAATACATGTCCAGCAATATGTGATAGATGAAGGGAGAATAGTGTCTTAGAAAGGCTTTCATCCTCTTCAAATGGCAAATAAATTGGCCTTTTTACTTTGAAGCAAGAGAAGTCAAACAACACAGTGCTTTCCAATTTAAATTGCATTTTTGCTTTAGTCTTTTATTTCTTAGAGTAACTTTAGGAGTTCATTACTGCTTAGCCTGGGCCATTGGAAAATATCTGATAGCATTTAGAAATGTGGAAAATCACTCACTATTTAAGTATTACTCTGGATTTAAATCTGTGGGAATGAATGTGGAAATGGAAATCCTGAAGAGAAAGATCACTCAAATCTGAGTACAGCCAGTGTTCAGCAACACAGAAACCATGGCTACTGTGACCTTGAAAGAAAGGGAGTGGTGTTTAAAATGTAAAATGGCAATTTATATTTCTGCTAATTTGTCTGTAGAATTAACCCAGCTTGTAGGCAAGGCTGGCTGCAATGAGGCCTAGAAGTATAGCAAATATTGGTGCATAATAATAATTTTCTATAATGGCTGCTAGTATAGATTTGGAAATAGGTTATACATTCCTCAGTAAAATTAGAATGGGATAGATGGATGCTATGGTTTGGATGTTGTGTTAATGCCACTAATTTAAAAAGTAGTAAACAACTACTGGATATGTGCTGGATATATTTGGATTGTGAAGGTTTTTTCTGTTCTGGGAGGAGGAAGAATTGTTCAACTCTGCCAAAATATCCATGGGTTTTTCATTCTAGGCTGAATTCTATGCTTTCCATTGTCTCCTGATGGTTGAGGTGTTCCAGTCCTCCTTATTCCCTTCCTGAATGCCCCAAAGCTGAACGCTCACCAAATATTTTTAATTTGAACCTGCAGGTACATCTGAAAAACGGTGAAGAGAAAATGAAGGAAATACCTTGACTGTGCTACAAGAGCTGGTACTTTCACATGCTCGTTGCTAGTGCTGCCTTTTATCTCCAGTATTTGGCATTTTTGCTATGACTTCTGACTACTTCATGCTTCAGCTCAGGGGGGCAAAGGAGAGGGCGAACTGCCAATCCATCTCTTTCAAAGAGCATTTTATATGTCTAAGGAAAAACTATGGAAAATGAAAACAAATTAAGTAGGAGGGTGAAAAAGCACCTTTTATTTTCTACTTCTACACTGATAATGGACAATTAATTTTAAGGATCCTTTTTGGAAATGAGTCGGAGGTAAGCTCTGGTCAAAACTGTTCTTACTTTTAAACATTATTTCTGCTTCTGTGTTATGGGGAACTTTCATGCTTTGTGCCCTGAATTGGATAATTCAGGCCTTACTCCTGTTTAGATCTAGGCCAATGGGATGATCTTTTGTTGACCAAGGTTTCCTCTAACATTTGTGCCTTTATGAATCTTCTCTCTTCAAGGTATGAAGGAAGTTTCTCCTTTTAAGAAGTCTGGTCTCCCAGTAACCTTGGGGTGGATTTACACATTTAAGTCACATCAAATGCTAATAGGAATTCCTTGGTCAAATCCTCTGCCCTGTCCCTCTTCATGCCTCACTGGGAGAAAAGAGCCATTAGTGTGTTTAAAAGTAAATTTCAAGGTTTCCTTTTTGTGCGTTCCAATGGCTGAGGTTTATTTCTCTCGTCCTTTTTATTTTATTGTGAGGCACCTTGAGTTATTTGCATGATAAGACACCCTGTAAATGGATTATATTGTAATGCATTGTGTAGGTTTAATGCTGACAACAGCTTGGTTTGGAAGTAAGATAGCAACTTAGATTTTTAGTTTCTGATGTGCCGTGCAGAGAAATGCCTTTTGAGAAGCACAAGGCGAAGCAGGAGGGACGAGGAGGAGGCAGCTGGAGTTAAGTTGTATGAATAACGTGAGGCAAGGCTGCCGTTCAAGATGAGCTGAATGCATTAACTTCTCAGCCCCCAAACTGCAGAGAATCAGCAGCACAAATGCCAGTGGCTCCCCCTTCTCTGCTCTAACACTTAATCTGGTTTTCCCCTTCATTTTTTTCCCAAGGATACCAAAGAGGTGGCAATGTTTTTTAGTAACAGCCTTTCACATGGGATGGGTGTACCTTTGCAGACACTGTGCCCAGAATATTATGTCATTATATACTACCTACTTAGGAGCTGGAGCTGGTCCCCTGGAGAAGCCCTATATTTCAGGAAAAAATGGTGAAATGAGCAAAAAGTCTGTTTTTTGGGGGGAAGTAGGTTGCCCTTAACTCTCACTGGACCATGTAATGAGTGCTGGTGCAGGAGGTTTGGCAGTCTGAGCATGGAAAACATACACTTCCCAGGAACAGGGTGTTTAAATCCTGGCAGAAAGAACTTGGCTTTTCCCCCCCAAGGTAAGTATGGAGTTTGCATTGAGTGGCTATTTCAGATAACACCACAAAAATATAAACTTGCTCTGGAGATTAAAGTGCTTTTCATCTCTGCTGAAGTTCTGCACAAGGCTGCATTTCATGTTACACGCTTGAGATACCCTGTGCAAGTGGCAGAAATATTCCTCTTTCTCCCTTTCAGTTGCAATAATAAAGCTCTCCAGTTTTTTAAAACTTTGCTCCATATAACTCAAAGCTTGAATAAAATGATAGCAATTAAATCAAAGGTGATGAATCTGTTTCAGTTGTGTCTTCTTGCCTTAATTCTTCACAGTACCTATCACCCTTGCACTGGTTTAAAGTTCTTGGGCATTTTAAAGTTCTTGGGCATCTCTTCAGCTTTTGGCATGTACATGGTATCATTTCTCACTAATAGAACTATTCACATATTCCACATATTTTAAATAACTCTTTATTATCTATAGTGGTTGAATGGAAGAAGCTGAGCAGTCGTGCAAAATTTATGCATCACTAAAATTAAAATGAAATGCTGCTCGGAATCACTTTAGGTTTCATTTTTTAGCTCAAAGTCGTCATGAATAGCATTTTGAAAAGCACTTTGATCATGGCGCTGTTAAAAAAAAAACAACAGAGGAGAGAGGGGAGTATCTTTGGGGGAGAAGCCTTTGAAATCATAAAGTGTAACTAAACTTAGTCAGCATACTGTGACCTGTCAGGAAAGAGCTGATCCTATTTAAGCTCCGCCGCATGCGGCCAAAATACTTTAAAGAGAATTCTGTAGATTTCTGTGTTTCCTGACGTCAACATGGCACAAGAGGAAGATTGGCTGCTTTTTTTTTTTTTTTTTAAAGAAAAAGAAATGCTTAAAAGTGCCACCAAAGCATTTCTGACTTGGGTCACTGTGCTGGTGACGCTGCAGTTTCTAGGACATATTGTCACTTGATCCAGGTCTGAGTCTGTGACTGAAAAAAGGGACATTTTGGTTTACCAATCCATTCTTTTCAATTAAAATACATAGAGGGTCTTGTCTTCCCTGCTGCTCCATGGTTATGAGGGAAGAATTAGGCACTAGCTATCCCTTACGGATGAGTGGCGTGTAAATCTGGATTAATTCTGGCAAGCTGAGGGGAGCAATACAAGGATCTGTCTCACTCCAGTGCCTGGTCTTTATGCCATTGAATCCCTCCACTGATAGAGAGATGCTGTACAGTTGTACATCCAACACCACACTCAGGGCAAGAAACCTTTAAAAATAGTTTAAATTAAAACAACTGGTGCTTTTAAAGAGAGGAAGAGGTTCTTTGTGAAGTACAAATAAATTCTCCAACTCTCTCTGTGAAGACGTCACTAACAACTCATTTAAACTCTTGTAAAGAGAGTGTTTGTGTTCTAGCAAGAAGTTTTGCAATCTGGAACAAAATGTTACTGATTGGGGAATTTGGATCTCAGCTGCTCCTGAATGACTCCAGATTGAATTCCATTCATGATGGTGCTATTATTCCAGACTTGCATGAGGGCAATAGACCTTACATTAGGGAAATCAGTGTTGCTAAATTATTATTTGATTAAAAAAAAAGGAAGAAAGAGCCTTCAGTTGTCACTAGAAGTAGTACTTGGATGGCTTTTTGCTGTTGAAAATGTCTGAAACAGTGGAAAACAAAGCTGCACAAATGGTATTGCTTTCCATAAAAATATCCATCATGGGGACTGTCCTTTCCTTCTGTGGGAACACCTGTTTGGTGGTTTCTGCACTGTGGGGTGAGAGCATTGGATCCAAGACACCCCAGGATGCAGCAGAATAAATCAGCCTGCCTTTGAAATCTGAAAGAAATTTTGCTTTGTGTACAGGGATGCAAAGTCTGATACAGCACTGCTGCAATCTGCAAGAAAAAGAGTGATCAAAATTGGTAATAATTCTTCCATTAAGTGGGAGATAAAACTTTAATTAAGACAGCCTACTGGAAGCTCAGGATGCTTCAAGTGTGACTAATACTGACTGGCAAAAATATTAATTTCAACAAACATTAATTAGTGAGTTTTGCTCTGTGGCTGAGAAGACGGTGCTTGCATGCAAGTGTCCCTACAGGGGTGTGTGTGGATGTGCACTTTGGAGAGTGTGACATGTGGCGAGGCAGCACGAGGGTCTCACGTGTCCCCCAGTGTTGAATACAAGGGTTTGGTGTGTGAGCAATGTGTCTAAAGACTTGGACACGTGAATTTCTCACTATGATGAACACACATCAACACCAACACTGGCTGTTCATACATGAGGCTGCACCAGCACCTTCCAGTGTATCACCAGGTGGGCTCTGAATTGGGATTTCTCCATTTTTGTGTGCCAAGGTGAACTCTTGGGAGACTCCACCTGGAGCTCTGCATCCAGCCCTGAGAGCCCCAGGATAAGAAGGATGTTGGAGTGAGTCCAGATGATCCAAGAGCTGGAATGTCTCTGCTATGGAGACAGCCTGAGAGACATGGGGTTGTTCAGCCTGGAGAGGAGAAGGCTCTGGGGAGATCTCACAGCACCTTTCAGAGCCTAAAGGGGCTCCAAGAGAGCTGAAAGGGATTTTTGACCAGAGCATGGAGTGACAGGACGAAGGGTAATGGCCTCAAACTGAAAGAGGGCAGGGTTAGATTAGATATTTGGAAGAAATTCTTTACTGTGAGGGGGGAACAGGTCCTTCAAAGTGTTCAAGGCCAGGCTGGACAGGGCTTTTAGCGACCTGGTTCTCATGGAAGGTGTCCCTGCCCAAGGCAGAGGGTGGAACAATGTGATCTTTAAGGTTCTTCCAACCCAAACCATTCTGTGATTCTCCAAAAACCTGTTCCCACTACTTCAGGCTCCTGGCAGCCGCAGGGAGAGGTTATAGCTCTGACTTTCCCCTCCAGCTGAGGCATCTGGGGCTGTTTTCCCCTTGCAGATCCCTGGAGTTTCCCCATGGCTCATAGCCCCAAGGGACTGCACAGCTGCTTGTCCTAGAGCCAGATCAGACTGAGGTCAATGGCATAACTCGCCCTCTCATTTTTGGGGACTAAGGTTACACTGCTGATGTTACAGGAGAAGTGCTAAATGGCAGAATCAGCTGGACGGAGTGGCTACTTTGGAGTATTTTAGCTGAGTGGCTTGAGCATTTGGGTTATATTTTAGCAAGTGAGATGACCATTCTTTACAGATATTAAGAATGCAGAGCCTTGTGAATAGCGGAAAATCTAACATTTCATGGATATCAAAACTCATGCTCTTTTTTCCACAATACGAGTGTGTTGTAATTCTTTTTTTGCCCTCTATTATCCTTTTACACTGCCACAGAATGTACTTTCATCTTTTGGAAATGACCCTTTAATGCAGTGGCTAAAATTTAATTTAGGATCTTTTGTTTTAAAAGGTGTATGCTTTGTTGTACAGGAACAACAATGGGGCTTCCATGGTTTTCATTGTGACTAAGAGCAAAAATGCATTTTTGAAAGATATTTATGATATTTTTTCCCCTGTCTGCCCATTCTGCAAGCTCTGCTCAACCCTGGAGACCAGGCTGTGTTCCTCCTGAGATGTGAGCTCCTGTTACCGACACAAATTCTTGAAGTAGTGGCTTTGCTGCCTCCTTCATGCTAAAACAAACATAAAGTAATTAAAACTCAAGTTTCTTTGCAAGGTATGGAAAGAAACATGATTTAAAAGACCTTGGACAATCCATTTGAGAACCAAACTGCTTTTTCTGAAAAGAATTGTTTCTTTTTCCCCAGTGTAAAACGGAACTTTGAATGAATTTTGAATCTCAATTACCATCCTGTGTGGGCCCCAACATGAAAGTTGTTACCACTCTCAAACCATGTTTAACTGGAACATCAGAGACAGTCCCTTCAGCTGGTCAGAATAATTTCAGTTCCAAATATCTTCATGAAGAAATGCAAGAGCAGATGTTTGCATCTTTTCATTGTCTCAGTGCCTAATTCATTCAACTGCAGTAGCTACTGAGGACTTTTGCCTCTATTACTATAACTTTTAAAAATTTTTCTCTCTGGTTATCAAAGTTTTCTTCCATTCCTGCTACTGATTTTATTGCCTAATGCTGGCAATACTCTGTTATCTTTATCTCATCTTGATCTATGCTTTTTATTTGAGTTGCAAAAGACCACAGCCACAATTCAGTCTAAGAAGATAAACTAAAGTAATTCAAGCCCAGTGAATGGTTTTATTCTCTTGTGTTCGTACTTTCATAACTTACTACTCTTCTGATCCATTTTCAGCTGTAATGTACATACAATCAACTTTTTCAGACTCCTCACAAGAAAAGCTTTTGTTTACTGGGCAGTAATCAGTATTAAAAGCCTTTAAAATGGTGAAAGTCAATGACACTGGTGCATTGTCCAGATGCATTGTTGTTGATGAAGAGAACTGATATTTCTGTGAAAGACCAATTTCATCCCAAAGTTTCTTCATCTCCTGTGATCACAACATTTTTCACATATTCCTCACAATCACATAAGCTGGAGTCCACCTCTGATATTTCATTCTAGCTCAGGTAATTTTTTCCCCCCCCAGAACAACTACAGAATGATTTGATGGCTTGGAATAAAGCACTGAATAGTCTCAGTCCATTAATGGAGCCTCTACAGACACCATTATATATGAGCTCTATATATTACAGCATTTGAATCAGTGAAGAAAAAAACCTTACAGCAAGAAGACACTTGATCACAAATATAGTTGTGTCACTTGAACATTTTAAATGTAAAAGAGAAACACTTCAAAAAAGAATAAGAGGAGTGAAACAGTCCTTTGTTTTCTAGGGGAGCACAAACCTAAGACTGGTTCCAGAGATTTCAAATACTTTAACATTAAGCTTGTGGTTAGATGCCTTGATATTTGCCATTGTTGGGGAGACACACATGTATTCTTCCCCCAGCTTTCAAATGTTTGTTTTTGAGTCATTACAAACCAGATTTCTCTGTGAGGTGTCTGGTAGAGAAACAAGATCCCCTAAGTTTTACAGTCTGCAGTTAAATGCTGTGGTCCCCACTGCTTTACAGCCTGTTAACTCCAGTGACATTTGGATCTGACACAGAGGTGGGGAACACCCTCGTGTCACCCAGAACTGTCCCATGGAGGAGGAAAACACTCACTGGAGCTGAGTTTCTGGCTCTGATTGCTTTCTCTTTGCCTCGGGGTGTCCAGCTGCTGAAGTACAACCTTTTATTGGTTTTACAGCTCTATGAAGCAGCTTTGAAGGTAGCTGATTTTGGACACCTTGACTGGGCTACTAA